AAAAGGAGAAAGTGCCGATGATTACTATACAGCGTGTAAGCAAAACAAATGAGGAAGCAAAAAATCTAACATAACTAACCTGTAAACTAAACCAAATGACATTATACTTTTTTATATTACTGTGATAAATGTGTTTTTTTTTTACGTTGTACAACCCCAATGCATATGTATTATGGCTGCAGCACGTATGGGTCGGCTCAACCGAGGAAGGAGCACACTTTCCACGCTCTCCACGGTTTCTAGATTATCAGCTTAAAATAGCATCATATATTATGAATATTTAAGTGAAATATGCTACGGTAAGTTTATTTATTTATTTTATAGAATAGGGTGACAAACTAGCACACAGTCCATATCCTTCAGATTCCAACCAGAACAGAGCAATGCAAGCACTGCTTTTTGGTGCCAGATATAGATGGTACTTTATCCATACGCACTGCTAGGCAGAAGAGGAGTCCGGTCACCAGTAAAAATGTATCCCTTTTTAATATGATAAAATAAATAATATCACTTAAAATACATACAAAACCACATACTCGTAAGTACAGTCAAATTGACAACATCACTTCACATCCAAACGTCGATGAATTAAATTTTACTTAAATTTTAGTAAAAAAATTGCTTCCTTTTGTTCGTGTCCACTTGCTGAAGCCGGGATGAATATAGCTGGTAAAAGTTACCCATAAGTTTGTTGAAGCACATGTAGTTAAAATTGAAAACAGGTAAGTACTTAATAATGAACTTTCGATACAGGTAGTACATTAGGTACTTAACTACTTTAATTTGCCAACTAACGAAAACATCTCATTGATAAACACGATTGTCGAAAATATTAAAATTATCTATAAATTTAATTAGAATAGGTAATTTTTAGATTTTTGATAATCGTGCTTACGTATAGGAATCTCATATCCTAATATACATAGTGTAATTTATGTAAGTACATAAGAATTAAGAGCCGTGGTAGCTCAGATGGTTAGCGCTTGCTTTAAATTTCACAGTACGCGAGCAAACCGGGTTCGATCCCCGCCGGCACCAATGAAATTGTTAATTGCAATTTTAAGTGCTGATTTACCACGTGCTCGGCGGTGAAGAAAATCATCGTGAGGAAACCTGCATGTGTGAGGAATAAGTAAAAAAATATTTCGAAGACATGTGAAGTTCGTCAACACGCATTTGGGCAGCGCGGCGGACACTTCCTTGCCCTAAACCCTCTCAGAAATGAGGGAGGCCTGAGCCCAGTAGTGGGACGTGTATATATGCTGTAACTTTACTTTACTTTACTTTTACATGAGAATCTAAGAAGGATAAATAAAATTTGTTTTGTAAGTTCTTTTTTTAAAAAACACTTTAACACAACAAAAACATGAAACTGAGAAGAAGCACTCGATCTGCTGAAACAATACTCAGAGAGGTCAGTCCAGGTATTACATTGGTCATATCATACGAGAACCAGGCAGGTGGCTAATGGTCCTTTGAAGAAAGAACCATACAGATGTGAGTGGACAACTAAGTACTTTTTAGGATTCCGTACGAAGCCTCCGCTATATGAGCTACTACTAAATAAAAAAGTGGTAGCTTTGCTATGGTATTAAAGTATATATTTTGGTTTAGATTTAATTTACCTTTTACAGAATAATACGAACTATATAAAAATTAAGGAGCGCATTAACCTACCTCAGATATTGGGTTATGAATACAGATAAATACACATAGGATTTAGTTTCTAATTTCTACATATTTTATAGCATTCGTTATCAATAGCATAAACAGGCCAAACCCCCCAGCCTACAAACGTTTCGTAACGAATCTCTTTATACAATCGCGCCTTTTATTTGTTTAGACTGACCACCTGACTCGTTCAGTGATGTCATTCCCATACAGTGTTTAGTTTTCAACTAGCGTTATCTACTATCATAAAATATTCAAAATTTTATTTATATTTCGCTAATTGTGTCTGTACTGTGAATTTGAATTACAATCGATCTCTAAATTGTGGTTTTCTTCTAATTACTTACCTTGCCTAGTCGTGTTCTTTGAACTTCTGTAAGGAAGTTTGTGCTGTTAGTCCTATTCCGTTTAGGTACGTTACTATTTTGATAGACGTTTGTGCTTGTCCCTGCAGTGACACAATACCTATTGTTGATAACTTTCTAAGTACTAAGAGAATATTGCAAACCGCTATTGAACACAAACAATCAATAAACAATTTACAAACTAACATTTTTATTTATTTAATTAATCTACATAAAAGCCCCACTCACATCAGTCGCGCTGTCGAAAAAGCAGTTATCCTGACACTGGCTGGCATATACTTCGGGGAGTTGCCTGTGGGCTATTATAGCTAACTAGCTATGGTAAGTAAATACCTATTTAGATTATATAGTACCTACAGTAATGTTTGCATAACCTACAATAAAATACAAAAACATAAAAAACATGATTATTTTACACTTTATTCTGTTTTAGAAGTCGGTTATATTTTTTTCAATTTTTTTAATGTTACTATTTTTAGTTGAGAGTTACGTCCCTTTAGTGGGTACAGGAGTGATATTATACAGTGCCATTGCGTAAAGAATGCATAGATACGCGATAGCAGCAATCGCGGTTGATTTGCTGTCATTTATTGAAGAGTTCCCTCGATTTCTCCAAGATCCCATCATCATATCCTGATCTGACCATCATCGAATACCATGGAATCATCTGGAAAAAATATGCTTTCAAATAAAAAAATCATTTTCCAAATCGGTTCAGGCATCTTCGAGAAATTGGGGAACAGAACATACATAAACATAAACCAACGAATTGAGAACCACCTCCTTTTTTCGAAGTCGGTTAAAAAGTAGGTAAAAACAAATCAATGAAATTAATATATAATAACAACATCTACTTAACACACAAGAACACATAAGAACTTTCATAATAACAACTACATAAATTGGGTTCATAATAATTACGTTTCACACAGCAGAACCTAAGTTATAATAACACCAATTTGTTTTCTCTCTCCTTTCTCTTTGTAAAATACGTTACCCCCACAGTAGGATTTTCTCCAGTATCGTGGAGGCAGTTTACAAACATAAATTGCACAAGGACAAACATCCAGACCCGGAACAACTATTTGTAGGCCATACAAATATTTGTTCCGTGCGGGATTCGAACCCGCGGCCCCCAGCGCAGCCTCATTGCTAAGCCACTGCGCTAAGAAGCGCACAATTGCCCTTTGAGTTTATGTTATTATTCAAAAATGAATCGCATAGGTAGGTACGCGGTGACGCCGTCGCGCATTGCGTCACTCGAGTGCGTATGTGTGTGCGCACTAGCTTCTTACTGCTCATCACAGCGTCCATCCCTTTCGCACGTGATGTCGGCTGAGATAGCATGCATTTTAATCCCGCCCACCATTTAGCTCGAGCTATCGACTAGGGCCACCTTAACGAGAACGTTTACCTGAAATAGTCCGACTAGGTAAGTCCAACTTCGACTGAGAGGTCAATCGACGGATTCAACTCGGCTGGGCAGCGTTCGGGAAGTGATGACACACCTTGCGTGTTGCCAGTGATGACTTACGGATCTGAGACGTGGTCCTTCACTGCTAGCCGTATCAGGACGCTCAAGGTCGCTCAGCGAGCTATGGAGAGGGCTATGCTCGAGGTTTCTCTGCGTGATAAACTTAGAAATGGGAATATCGGCAGTAGAACCAGAGTGACCGACATAGCCCAATGGAGCAAGTTAAGTGCCAATGACCGACGACCGATAGGGGAAAAAGTTTCTCGAGTGGCAGCCTCGTACCGGTGGGCGTACTGTAGAGTGACCCATTCGCACTGCTAGGCAGAAAAGAAGTCCTATCACCAGTAAAAATGTGACCATTTATAATATAATAAAATGAATAATATCACTTGAAATACATACAAAACCACATATTCGTAAGTACAATCAAATTAACAATATCCGTTTTTGAAGTCAGACAGTAAATTCTCATCCAAACGTTGATGAATTAAATTTTACTTAAATTTTCGTAGACGGAAGCCATTAGAGCGTAACCGGTAAGTTGTAAAGTTTTCCTCGAACCGATGAATATTCAATAAAAGAAACTTCTGTCGCTAATTGTAAAAGCTCGATGAATATTCGTGGCGACTTTTACGTTTTTAGATTTTAAACGAAGTTTACCATAAATGTCAACTACAAATAGGGCCCTAAAATGTGGTTGGTCATCGACACAATTGAGCGCCCGCCGCCGCCCGGGGGACAGACTGACCCTCCATGATAATACGTAAATTACATTCGGTCGCCGTGTTTACTTCCCAGTCTATTAAGCATTTAGAGGTCACATGCAAATTGCCAATTCGTGCCAATCGTCAATTTAAAGTTAGTTTTCGTGAAAAAATTGAATTAATCCTACAAAAGTTTAAATATAGACTATACGCCCCAAGGGTGGGCATAAAGCCTACTCTCATTTATGAGAGGTTTATGGAGCGAATAGGATTAGATCATTGCTAACGAGTGAGTAAATCAGCATTTATAATTGCAATTAATTCACAATTTTATTAGTACCTCATCTCGAATAATAAATTACTACGATTCCCCTCTGAGATATTCTATGGGGAGGCTCATGTTCAGCAGTGAACTTTGATAGAATATAATAAATTAAAAGTATAAAGCAATACACATACGGAATGAAATAAACATAGAAGTGAAAGGAATCACAAATATAAATTATTTTAATATTTTGAGTAGTTTAAGGAATATCACAAGTTCAAGACTTAAGTAATATATACGATTAATGTCGTTTTATTAGATTATATAAAAAATATTCTAAGTAATCAGTGAACATAACATGATAAAACATATTAGTTGAATGCTATAAGTAAAAAATTTCTCGTTTACATATTTTTAACTTGATTTAAATTAGTTTTTATTATGTTTCTATTTTGCGTCTGAATAACATTCCATTATAAGTGAACAATTAATGTGGTAAGTTTATTTGAGCTTCATCATATTTATATAGCACCATCAACCAAAGCTATTTTGAGTCGCATCAAAAATATTGTTGAGAAACTAATTCCTAAGTCGTCAAACAGTTCATGAACAAGCGCCGTTGGCAGCAGAGTTCTGAGGGCTGTCTCATATTGCTTTTTCACGGTAAGTCCTAAACTTCCTCTTATGCATAATCGCATTAAATGATTTATAGATTTATACGATTTGCTCTTGTAACAAAATCAATTTGCATAATTTTTTTGAAAATTATCAACAATATTCTTTTAAGGGGTTTTCTTAGAGTATTTATAAGCATTGCTTGCTTATAAATACTATAAGAAAAAACTATATATCATACTCTAATGTATTTTATAGAATAAGAGTGATAAGTGAGCACATAACCTACCTGATGGTAAGTGGTTGCTGTAGTTCATAAACATCTACATCTATCGTCGATTAGGAGAATCAAAACGAAGATATGTTTCCACCCATGAAAATTACACCCACAGTAAACTCATATGGATGTAATAAATGATATTGAGATAGGGTGTAAACGACATTAGAAACCGTAAAATTATAAGTTGAATGTATAAATGAATATATTTATTTAATCACCAGAGCGATTCGATAAAAACAAATAGCAATGGTATGTAAGTAAATAATGTTCTCCAGACCGGATTTCCGTCACGGCGGCCAGTACCGACGGAGACTAGCCATCTGTGCAGGACAGGATAGTGCCAGAGTGTGCTCGCAAGCACAGGTGTCACCTCCACACTTACATGTAGTACATAGGATGGTAACCCGACACGATCTGAGAGAGATCAGGTCAATCGTCGTCATGTGCTTTTCGAGGCACGGGAGTGAAGTACCACCAATTTACTGACTCCGGGCTGCCCCTGAGAACTTGTTAACAGAAAACACCAATAACTGATTTTAGGCCAGACCTGATACAGAACTCGGGACTACTACGATTAGCAGTCGCCCACACGACTACTAGACCAACGACGAATTACATACGAGATATAATATGTCGTGAATATCACGTGACTTATTTTTTTAATTTTACAGTTTTTTATAAGTGTTAACGACTATGCAATCAACTTAGCCAACCCCGCAGATATATCAACCCTATCTAGGAACTAATTTTATATCGATCATAGTGGATTGCGAGTGACGTGAAGGCACCTCCCAGCGAGATAGCGTACGCCGGGAAAGCGTAGCGAGGTGCACAGCCCGTCTGCAAATATCGTTCCGTAATAGTCATCAACAAAGGGGCCCCGGAAATATTAAGATAAGATTTCAAAGCGATGCATTTCTAAATTGCTTCTGCTATTATCCACTTTGAAATGCATTGTTCATCGTTGCTGTAGTGTACAACTTCCTAATGTATAATAACAATGCAGCGTACTGAGTACTGGCGTTTCTTCGTTACTTAAATATGCACCTGTACTGATACATCTACATAGACAGATGAGTTTGTTGTATGTTTGTTTTGTTTAACTAAGTTGCAAAGAAAAACATTATACATTTCATTTTCTATATCATAGCATTTAATTATACTAGCTCTCCACACTCTTACGATTTGAACACAGCTGAAATGGGCTCATGGGCAGAAACGTAGACCACCCTAATAAAGTGTAAAAATTTCAAATGTAGCGATTATAACAAATCGTTATCTTCTTTTCTGTGCAACGGGCGTACTGTATGTTTAGTAGGGAGCTGATAAAGGCTGATTACGAGTGATCAAAGTGCACTTACCGAATTCGGTTGGCGACAAGCAGTTCGGAGTTGTCTCGTCCGAGACGCGAGTAGGCCGACTCGACGATGACGAGTACTTTGGCATCGATGCGGAGGCGCGCGTCCGACGTGTGGTCGCGTGCGTGCTGCTGCTGCGACGCGAGCAGCGAACACTGCGACAATGGCCGCGGTACACGGTCTCGCCACACCATACTGTATGACAAACATTTTTTTTATTACAAAAAAATCATTGAGCACAAAGACAATACTTTGCACACGTGTGCGCTGCTGCTCATTACAAATCTATGAAATTTCTGTATAATATTTTAAAATGCACTGCGATTAGTCGGTCACCAGAGACACCTTAGTTTGGCATTTACAGATGTTAAAAGGACTCCTTAGACTCTTATTATCTAAATCCATCAATTTATTTTAGCCCACATCATACGCACATCATTTTTCTCACTAATTTTCTCCATAAGAGGAAACCATATAACTAAGAAGGGGAGGGGGGATCCCCTTCCCCTTCTTAGTTATATAGTAACTGACGACTACAGGAAATGGTTTTTAAAAATATCTAGATATACTACTATACTAACGATGAAAAAAAAGCCAAAAATTGCAAGACTTAGAAACCCATTTGAAAAGGCGATTATATATATAAGAGCCGAATAACCTGCCTACTATGTGAGAGGCACATGTACAGTAGTAGACATTTACGAGCTTAAAAATAACATTTTCTGTACACTATGATAAACCCTACGGCCTATGTTTAGCAGTGGACTTGTGAAGGGCTGTGATGATGATGATGATGATGATAAACCCTAAATTAGACCTATTTGTTGTTTCTTTTTATACAAAATAAACATAATAATAGAGACTAAAGTATTAAGTTACCATTTAAATGAAGTGGCCGCTTTAAATAAAAATCAAAACCTACACAATTATGTTTCATAAATGGTAGAGCCACGATGCAGCTACATTATGGTTTTAGCATGAATCGGTCGTCTCGACCGGGTTAGGACCACGCCTTCACAGAATACCAGCATAAAATAGCAGCGTGCGTGTAGTGTTTCATAAGGTGAGTGTAGAGAATCGGAGACCCGTTTTATTGGAATCGAGGCATTCCATCTTAGTCTTCAGGGGTGACAACGCATCTGCATTTTGATTCTTAATCGAGGTTAAATGAAGATGTCTATGCGCTACAGCATCATCTTACTATCGGGTGGACTGTGTGCTCGTTTGTCACCCTAATTCTTTGAAAAAAAACACGGTCAATGTTTTGTGGTAAAAACTTTTTTAAAGTACCTAAATACCACAAAAATGACATTCTATTGTTTGACTTTCAATTGTCGTTACATGCAGTTTTCAACCGACGAGAAAACGGAGGAGGTACTCAAGACGACGCGTATATTTTTTTATGTATGACTACGCATAACTTTTTACAGAGTAGTCCGATTTTGATAATTATTTTTTTATTGGATAGGTCGAAAAAATAATTGAAAAATTCGAAATTGGTCCTATATAAATTTTGAAAAAATTCTTACCCTAAGGGTGGGAAAATAGGGGTTATTTATTAAAGAGTAGTCCGATTTTATAATTCTTTTTATATTGGATAGGGTATTACCTCGAAATTGGTCCTATATAAATTTGGAAAAAATGTTTATCCTAAGGGTGGGAAAATAAGGGTGATTTATTACAGAGTAGTCCAATTTTAAAAATTCTTTTTTTATTGGACAGGATATACCTTAAAATTGGTCCCATACAAATGTGGAAATTTTTTTAACCCTAATGGCGGGAAAACAAAGTACGATTTTGATAATTTATTTTTTTATTGGATAGGGTATATGCCTCGAAATGGGTCTCATATAAATTAGGAAAAGAAATTACCCTAAGGGTAGGAAAATAGGGGTGATTTATTGTTTACTCACAGCTTTCATTACATAATAATTAAATTACATTACAAAAAACCTCACTATGAATGAGCCTTAGACCTGTCAGTCTCTTGTGTGTAGACCTATCAGTCTCTGTATTTCTGATAAAGATCAGATTTAAATTAAGCAGAGATTCAGCTAGATCGGATAAAGTAATACCCTCAAGTATTTTCACTCTTGTTTTTTCTTCTTCTTTCCGAGGTCGATTACAGCTTTAAACAAATAATAGTATATAAAGTAGAATTATATAACAGTTAATAGCTAAAGTAAGGTAAGTAGCTATTTTAAAAGTTATCAAAAATTAAGCATGTAGAAATGAGTAGATTATAGCTATAAAAAATTGTAAAAAAAAAAACTTTTAACAAAAAAATTAAACCGCTGAAAAAACTAAAAAGCTAAAAATAATAAACCCTTTTCTTTTACCTTAATAACTAAGTTCTTAAACTAATGTAAATGTACCTTAGTATATTTTGAGTTTTTAATTAACCTTAATAACTAAGTTCTTAAACTAATGTAAGTATACCTAAGTAATTTTGCGTCGGCGCCAATAAATCAATGAACAAATATCAATAAATTACCTTAAATTTAAAGAAAAATTCTAATCGAATCAAATTGTATATATATGTAATCTTCAGCGATAAACATTAATATTTCAAAACTACGCCTTCCGCACGAACGCTCGAAACGACGTGTGCCCTCACGTGTGTATCCGTTCGGGTCGCTGTCTCACATACATTAACTTCGTGAAAGCTCGGCATTTTCCGGCGAAGGGGCGTGTCGTGCTGCGCATCACGCTTTGTGTAATTAATTAATTTGCTTGTTAAAAATTTGCTTCTAACTAAATTCTATTCTTTGACTTTCAATTGTGGTTACATTCCGTTTTTGAGTTAAACATTAAGTAGAAGCGAAAAATTTAGAAAGGAAAGTTTAAAGCGGAAAATAATATGATACCATAATAATATTATTTTCAGTATAGGAGATCGTCCGGGTAGGTACCTAACCTAGGCTAAGCTTGCACTGCTGGGTTTCGGTCCGAAGGGTAGAGAGAGCCAGCATGATTAATAACAGCCTGTGAGGCATTCCATGTTAGCCCTCAGAGAGGTGTCAACGCATCTGCTGCCTTCTTTGTTTAAAGTTGATAGCATATGTTTGTGGACTACAGTAGCCACTTACCATCACGTAGACTGTAAATACATTTCTCACTTCAAGTCTATTAAAAAAACTGCTCTCATTTACATTACTATCTATCTGTAATTTTTGTATATTTTTATCTCTTATGATGTAATTATGTTGAGCAAATAAATTATATTAATTCAATAGATATTTCAAGAAATATTTTTGAACCGTTTCCTATAATTACAGAGCGGTACATTGTCTTTAAAATCGAATGGCAGACAAATTTACAAGTTTAGTTAATATGTATTGTTTAGTTCGTTTACCAAAATAATTATTTACTTTAGGAACTACTAAAAGAGAAGATAGGCATATTTTGCCTAGCAGTGGAACGTTTATAGACTGTAATTATAATTTTGTCATGCAAATTATGCCGCGAGTTGGTTTAAACAAAAATGCTTAAGTTCACAAAAGAATATTATTTTTAATTTAATTATTTGCTGTTGAAAAATAGGTAAACAGGATAATATATCAAATCTCTAATCCCTTTGTTTAGTTTCCGCCATCCACGGACAAAGAGTTAACTTCACTCCGAAACAGATTATGACACAAAACAAAGTTTGGAAATGGTTCTTGACATCTGATTCACCCTAGTAGATTTTTTTAAATCGATCATCATCATCATCATCATTACAGCCCTTCACAAGTCCACTGCTGAACATAGGCCTCCCCCAAGGCATGCCACAAAGCACGGTCCTGAGCCATCTGCATCCATCAACTTCCTGCATGTCTTACCAGGTCGTCACTCCATCGAGTGGGGGATCGCCCTACACTTCGCCTATATAGTTCTTCGAGCTATATAGCCGACCCATTGCCACTTCAGTTTACTAATCCGTTGGGCTATGTCGGTCACTCTGGTTCTACTGCGGATATACTTATTTCTAAGTTTATCACGTGGAGAAACTCCGAACATAGCCCTCTCTATAGCTCACCGAGCGACTTTGGGCGTCCTCATACGTCCAGCAGTGAAGGACCACGCCCCAGTTCCATATGTCATCAATGGCAGCACGCACTGGTTGTATAGTCTCGTTTTCAGGTTTTGAGGTACAGCTGACGAGAAGATATGTCGTATTACCCGAACGCTGCTCAGCCGCATTGAATCCGTAGATTGACCTCTCGGTCAAAGTTGGACTTACTTAGTCGGACTATTTGTCCCAGGTAAACGTACTCGTCAACAACTTCGAGCTTAGTGCTCCCAACAACTACCGGCATAGGTGTGACATGGACATTAAACATGATCTTTGTTTTGTCCATGTTCATCTTAAGACCTATCTGTTGGGAGGCATTATTAAGGTCATTAAGCATAGTGCTTAAGTCCTCCAGCGATTCTGCCATAAGGATCGTACTATCGTCGAGACAATGAAAACGTCCACAAACACACCTACACCAGTTGGATTGCTTTCGTACTCTGGTTCTGTACTCGGATAGCCATCGTATCTCTACTGTACAAACACTTCAGCACTTCGATATACCGACAGTCAACTTGGCACCGCTGAAGAGACTGTAGCACCGCCCAAATTTCGACGGAATCAAAGACTTTCTCATAGTCCACATACGCCAGGCAAAGTGGCATATTGTACTCTTCGGACTTCTGTACAATTAGCCGAAGGGTATGTATGTGGTCTATGGTACTAAAGTCTTTTCGGAAACCAGCTTGTTCGGGAGGCTGGAAGGCGTCGAGTCTACGTGCGAGACGATTCTTAATGACTTTTGAAAACAGCACGTAGACGCGGCTCAGAAGGGATATCGGTATATGGTTCTTCAAGAGAGCGTTGTCACCTTTCTTGAAGCACAAGACCATCGCACTTCTGCTCTACGCCTCGGGAGTAGTGCCACCATGGAGGACGGAATTAAAGAGCCTCTGAAGGAATTTAAGTACCGATTTCCCACCCGCTTTCAGAAGCTAATCTGTAATTCCATCCTCGCCCCTGGACTTGCCGTTTTTAAAGTACTGTAGAACCATTCTAATCTTGCTCAGACTGACGTCCGGGATATCATCGGAATAGTGTCGGAAAAAGACTTGCTCTTGGATCGTTACTCACAGTTGCGTGTGGCTCAAATCACATATCACCGTGTACAGCTGCCCATAGAAGCTCTCAATTTCA